CCGTTACATTCTCGACGTGATCAGCTGCATGCCCCGAATCTTGAACAGACAGTTAGATCGACCGCCGCCAAGACTCGAGCTGCCCATCACTTTCATATTTTGGTTCGGTGAAAAACTGATCGTTCTTGCCCCGGGGGTCGGATAGACGTCTCATGCATTTACGACTACACATCTAGGTATATAGCGATGTTTTTTTAAGAAACAAAGCAGCTTGCAGTGCTATTTTTCTCTGGATTTCTTCTAAATTTTGTCTACGGTTCTCCAACTCAAACGCAGTTTGATTGTCCACCATTTAGGCACCCAGTATGCATACAACCAATGTAGTCCACTAAATGACTAAATCGATCTGTCCATCACCTGTTTATACATTAATGTCAGGCTTCAGCACAGGCCGAGCAGGGCTTGCATGCCACGAACCTTGTTTAAGCTGGACCTCAGTGGCCGGCAGAAAGGGGAGATGCACCGGTGCCGAAGGGCTGGAAAGCCGGGAGAAACCGCCTACCTGGCACTCAGGCAAAAGCGGTGCCCAGTGGCTTGTCCCGCCTGCCCAGCCGGTAGAAACGCAGGGGAGCCGGTAGGCAGCGGGCCGGCACCGGTGAGAAAGTTGGTGGCAAGGCCAAGTGGCAATCACAGGACTGTGATTGACTGAGTGCTTATATATACGCGGTCAACTCCATCGTTGTCCGTACACTACCCGAACGCTCCGGACTTTAATTGCTTTGAATGCCCTATGACGTGTCACAGCGCTAGATTCGGTGTTCGATGGGCACGTCATCAAGGCTGACGTAAAATTAGAAACGGCCCAGTTTGATAACCGTTGCCACTTTTGAAATTGAACGATGCTCCTGGGGGAACGAGGGCCAGAGCCTATACAGGCGGGCCCCGGGTAATGAAAAAGGCTTCGCGAATCTCCATCGATCAAGGTGTTTTGTTAAACGCTCTCGCTACGAGGAAGATCAAGCCCGGGGGGCTTTTGGCTTTAATTGGGTAGTTAGGCCCCGTTTGGGAGCGGGGTTCCGCGTGATTACCTATCTCGACTACTCAGGAATTGGTTTAGTTTTGGATCGATCAATTTCACATTGCCCGGTAGAATGAATTCAGCTACCGTAGTGGCACGGACAATTCGCACCAAAAATAAATCGTCAGGCCTTCGTGCGAAAATTTTCGGAAATTATTTTAAGATTGGTGCGAAAGTGCGGAACCAAAATAAATCAAATGAAGCCTAAAAACACGCAAAAAAGGGCCTAAAACACTGTTAATCTTGGCTACTGCGAAAATTTAATATTCCTCAAAACCCTGGTGCGAAACCAGGAACTGAAATAAAATAATTTTCGTAAGAGCCTGGCGCGAATTGTCCGTGCCACTACGGTAGCTTCAAGTTTTCCCGGCCGCTGGAAAATTGCAATTGACGTTTGCACCTTTGCACATGGCGACCCGACTCCGCCCGAGTCCCGACTCTTGTTGCACGTCGTCCAACTCCCCCTCCTTGCAATTTTCGTTGCCGCGAATGTTTCGCGTGCGGAAATCATTCCCGACCGCACGAATGAGCTACTGTACTGCTAGTCTGCTAGGATGGAATCCGCAGTGCCACCCGGTACAAAAGGACGCGCACATGGGCCGCGCTTCCGGATATCCGGGATTGTTGACTAGGTACCGAAGTTCACGTCAACTCCCTGGTCCCAAATTTTAGCTGGGCAAAGGGCTTCTCACGCGGTGCCCCCGGGAGACTCTGACGGTACCATACATATTATTAATGCGGCAATTCTTGCAATGCATAAAGCTGACCATGTTTCCAACCCTTCGATCATCCTCAAGAGCATTGTAATGCGTCCGATCTTTGCAGAACAAACACACGTGGTATGCACTGCAAGATTGTACACTGCGCCTCCCGGCTCCTGCTATTGGAGCCCGGGCACCTTGTTTTGCTTGTGTGCGTAAGTACGGTACGGTCTGTACCTGGCAAAGTATGACGTACCTACGGTACACCACTCTTGTTGACATCACCATGATGAGATCTTCTACAAGTGAAATTCCCAATCGGGCGTACAAGGACGGCCTGGACTCCACTCAGCACTATGCAAGAGTGGGAAGTTGGAACCCATCACATCATCCTGCATGCTTTGCTGAATCCTGCAGTGGGCATAGCGCGCTGCAAAGCATTCTGCAAGACTCTTTCAAGAGGGAACAGCTCAGGCGGAACCATCTCGCATGTTGCATCATCCCACGCAGTGATGCGCAGTGGCGCCTTCCATCACTTAAAGTTGATTCACACGTTGCTTTTAGAAATTCGGTTGCGACATTTCCAAAAAGCTCTTGGGGGCGGGCAGCAGCTGAAAAGTCCTGCCACTTAAAGAGTTGTAGCTACTTTCTGCAAGGTTTGAGGATCAATCAGAGTTGCGTTGAGCTGCGGATTTGCAAAGTCTGCGGGCGTCTAGCTCCGCGGGGCTTCCAGAAAAGCTCTGCCCTCGAGGAAGCTTCCTGCAACCAAGAAACTCGCACCAGGTGTTGCATCTAGCTGCTCTACAGCATTGTGTTCTGTAGTCTACCAGCCTTTTGCTTACCTTGGGAGGGTGGGGTTCTCCTTACATGCTCATTAAACATAGCATTCGTTTGTAACACCAGACGAACGGAAAGGAAAGGAGAAAGGCTGTTTTAGTGTACTCACTAGGACACGTGTGTGTCAGCAGGAATGAAATCGCAAGCCCTCTGGGCTATACTGTGTGCGGTGGCATGTTGCTGGGTGGGGCTGGCAGCAGGGGTGTCAGATCCTTCTGAAGGTGAGTGCTATTTCCAAGCGGTCCCTTTTACCGCGGAACAAACGTACTGATTCCTTGTTTTAGGGCCTCTCAGTCCTTGTTGTGCAATGCTGTCAAATGGATAGCGGTCTTTGGTTTTTCAACCTTTCAGACACCCATGTGTACTATGTAGTTAGACTTTACTGTCTCTGCTTTCTTTCCTTGAGAGTGGTGCAAACAAGAGTTGTGGCTAGTGTGAAAAGAGGCTTCATCTTCTGGCTGGCACACCCCTATCGCTTCCCTTCTCTGCGCCTTGGTAGAGATTGAGTGGACATAATAGACCATGAACCGCAGTCTTGTGCCTTCTCTTGAGCTCGTACTGCCGCCCCTAGTTATGACCGTAGTGAAACAGAGCAAAGCTGGATACAAAGGCTAGAGCACTTTACCAGGAAAGAGTAGAGCTGCCCCAGCAATTTGGCATTGGTTAGAGGGTGTATTGTCGACTTTAATGACCAAAGGTTCTTTTGTCCCATTGTCAGGGCAATCAAACCTGAACCTTGTGTCACTTTTGCGTCCCTTATCATTGCTTTTCGTGACTTGATCATTGCCCTCATTTTGTGGCTCCACCAATAGTGAGTCCAATGCTATCAAGCATACATGTCACATCGACGGTGGTTTGCCACTCAGAGACCCCTCAGCAGCAAGCCCTTTGCGGTGGTCAGCACACAGCCTTTTGGCATTTGGCCTAGCTCGGCTCAGGGGCTGTCAGATGAGGATAAGAAGTTGTACCCCCCCTCAGGCATCGGTCCAACTGCCCTGTGGCAAAGTTCCATAGAATGTGGCTGCCCGAGAGTATGTCTAAGCGCGAGAATCTTTCTCTCAGGCCCTTGCAGCAATTAAACCGGTGATTGCAGCAGCCGTATGGATCTTGTGCTGTCAAGTGGAAAGAGGACTCTATCATTCTTCATATAGCGAGTCAATACCAACCTTTCAGAGAGCCGCATGACAGTCGTTCTTTGAGCCAAACCAAATCCATGATCCTAGAAGTGGCTCAGTATATCTGCCCCCTTCCTTGCAGCAAACAGCCTGGCCGTCTTTAAGCAGGCCACTGGGAACCCGCCCGCTCTTGCCAACTGGCAGGGGAATGACCCGTGCGGTGACAACTGGCTGGGGGTGACCTGTACGGCGGCGAGTGGAAACACCGCTAGACGCGTGACCCAGCTGTGAGCCCCTCGCACTTCTCTTCTTTCCTACCCATGTGTATTTTGGCCCGCTTTCCCATGATTTCCATGGATCAGTGCAGAAAGATTCTGTGGTTTGTACTTGAAGAGATACATCAGCGCAGGAACGAGTTGACCGGCCTCAAGATAGGGAGACTAGGGCGCAAAGGGATGGGAGTGAAGGTTGCAATGAGATGGGGAGAAAGACCGGCCTAGAGCAAGGTAAGGGAGACTTCTGCAAACGTGCCTCAATAAGCCTAACGGTCTGAAAAATTGAGAGGGGGTTGTCCAATGCGGCTGAACAAGGTAAGGGAGACTAGCATGGTGGTCTTCTACTCAACCGAACATTGCAAAAAAGGGTCACTTTTCTGGACTTGGGCCTCCAAGTGATGTACCAGCACTTTATAGATTGACCCTATGGCGCCGTTTTTGGGATCTGCGGAAGTCTCATCAGTTGCAAAGCAAAATCTCTGCTGACAACAATCTTTCCCTCTCAACAATATGCGTGATACGAAACTTCCTGAGGCCTGTCGTGTCCAGTTGTCAGAACGGTTCTCCCCTGATTCAAGCCAAGCTTTTCGTTCCTCAGTGTTGACAGCAAATCTTCTCTTTGACATGATATAACCAAGCCCAATCTAGGTTCCAGATTGGGGCTCAGATTTTCTTCCTATCCTGGCAGGGTAATCACTAACATTATATAATCAAGCGTAGTCCTATCTTAAGCTTCTCACCTGTGGTCAGCTGCTGTCAACTCCCTCTGTCAGCCTTTTCCGACCAAATACCAGTCTTTTCAGGGGTTCCCATCCGCCGTCTTCAGAGCTTCTTTTTCCAGATTAAACCTGGTTCTCCTTTTCTCAAACTCAGGCAAATTGATGCAGGTTCACCATCAGTCTGACCTTGCTTCTTACCCAATCCCTCCTGAGCGCTCTGTAGTAGCCAGCTTGGAAACCTGGGATTCCCTCTCAGTCAACATCTCATTATGTTGTAACCAGGATAGCTTAACTGGTCCTTAACCCTCCTTTCTCACTGTCTTGCAGCCAGCTTCCAAACACCGGCTTGTCCGGCAATATCCCGCGCGTGATCAGCCAGCTGTCACAGCTGCAGTTGCTGGATTTGAGCAGCAACAAACTGCAGGGGCCCATTCCTGTCGAGTTGGGTAACCTCACCAAACTGCAGGTGGGTCCTTTGCAAATTCGTCTGCTAATCACAGGGTAACTATGTCAATCTTTAGCTCCTATGGCTGTCAAACAAACAGCATTGTTGATAGGTCTAAGAGATATTGAGGTTCTTTGCCACATCGGCAGACGTGGACGTTGGCTCACCAGAATCCAATCTGTGCCCCATCACGTTGGTCCGATCACATGCTATGCTTGGACGGCCTTTGGATGGGCCTATTTGCAAGGGGCATTAGAGAGGTGCGTTGAGTTCGTGCAGACAGGCTTGTCGAAAGTTGAAGGATGGTTCAGCAAGGTCGTCATTCGGCTGAGAAGGGGCCCCTGGAGGAAGGAGTGATTTATTGGAGACAAACCTTTTCCTTAGAAACAACTTCAGCCGCAACTATGACAGCCTCTTTCAGACGTCGGCGTACTAAGCACTTGTTTGCTTGATGTATGTATGCGCTTTTTTGCTTAGAGGCGAGAAGCACTTCCTCAAAACAGCATTTGGGCAGATTTGATGTACCAGCGGTTGGTTGCCCCTTCGAAATTCTTCCGAAAGCTCCATCGCTTTGCTCACACTTTCGTCTGCTGATCGGGCTAGCTAGCTGTTTGCCAACTGAACCCTTATTTTCTTTTCCCAGACTCTCGACCTGCATTCGAATGCCATCGTCAGCACGATGGACCCCTGGCTCGTCCAGCTGACGTCACTGACGACCCTCGACCTCAGCAGCAACCAGATCTGGGGCTACTTGCCAGCTGGCATCACAGCTCTCACAAAGCTCCAAACCATGTGAGCTTTTCTCACGTCCGACCGTATGACTTCTGACGATCCGCACATTCCAAACATGTTTCTTGAGTTGAGTAACTCCAAGACGTGGAGACGAACAAAATGGAGACGAGTCGAGTGGGTAGTTGACTTGTAAGTTGGACATGCGTGCTACTATTGTATGTTTCGTGTTGCTGGCTTGCTTGTTGATTCAACATGGATTGCAGGAGGATCATGCATGCACTGGTTTTGAAATGAGCAATCGCTCTTCAAAGCAGACGCGAAAGCGTAACAGACATCCGTTGCTGAATCAAAACCTGATTGACCGCTGGAGAAGGCTCCTCAATAAGGCCCCCGGCCGTTCCTGAGCTGCTGAGAGTCTTGACTATGAGCTTCATTGGCGTAACCTGAGCAAGCAGTCTAGCCAACAATCAGTCTTGCCATTCGAAACGTGAGAACCGAATTCTGTGTAGGAAGGCCGTCTTGTCCTATAGATATCCCACTAGCCTGACGGTCAAAGCGAGAAGCATACGGCCAGGACTCTTACCTTTGGCGACTCACTCTTCGTCTTCAAGCTGCTCTTTCTCACTTATGCCAAAAATCCTTTCCTTGGTGCAGCAACTTGGCGAGCAACAACATCGCTGGACCGATCCTCCCCGCCTTGGGACAGCTGACCAACTTGACGATGCTGGTTCTGTACGACAACAAGCTGAACGGACCGGTTCCGCCGGAGCTCGGCAATCTGACCAACCTATATGGCCTGTGAGCCCTCCAATCTCTCCTTTCTTGAAAGTAAAGGAGTGTTCTCATTGTAAGGAGGTAAAGTGTTTTGACGGCTGCTCGTGGACCTACGGAGCAGGGAGAGGGTAAAGTTGCTTCAGAAGTGGTTTTGGCGCAGACGATAGCCCTTGATTCCCATATTCTGCTGTAGGTCTCGAATTTCCGTCATTTAGGCAAGCAAGCTGGTTTTCCTTCTTTCCTTCCAACGTAGACATTTCAATGCTTCCATTATCAGTCAGGCAAAGCCCTTCTTCCAACATCAGATGTTTCACGTCCGCAAGTCTTGAGGCCCAAGGATCGACCATCTCTGCAGGTTGCTGCATAACAACAGCCTGAGTGGGACGGTGCCCCCAGAACTGGCCAACTGCAAGAGCCTCGGCTGGCTGTAAGATACCCCCTCAATCTTCCTTGCGCTTTGCTCTCGACTATGATGCCATTTCCAGATCTATTGCTTCGATCCCTGTGGTGTACCTTCCAAGAAGGCCTGCTTTTCGGTGATAGGATCTCAGGAAAGAAGAAATGCGAAAGAACGATTGAGGGTGGTAAAGAAATAGAGGGCGGGATCTGGATCTGGGTTTGGGGTTTAGGTTCGGCTCTTGGTTATATTCTGGGTTCGGGTCTCCGTCTGGGTCGTGTTCCGGGTCCGGGTCCGGTTTGGGTTCGGGTTCGGGTTCGGGTTCGGGTTCGGGTTCGGGTTTGTATTCGGGCCTAATTTGCCTTGTTGTCTTATCAGAACCGTGAAGCGTATACCGATGTCTCCCCTCTGCCTCCGAGTCGCGACCTCCAGTTAGAACACCGCACGGCGCGCCTTCGGGCGCCCCCGTTCGCTCTCTCGTCAGCTTTGAACGTGGACCGGACGCCAATCCATCTGGAGCTGACGTCAACCCCTGGCTGCTCACTGGTGCAGGTTCCTTCACAACAACTTTCTGACCGGCCTGGTCCCAATTGCTCTGACCCAGGAGCCGCAACTGGTGGCCAGGTGAGCCTCCGTGCTTATGCCTTCACGCATATCGCTTATCGTCCATTGCTGCCGCTTTTGGCCTTTTCTAGAACGCGGACGTGGTTGCGCGCCTTGCCTTGCTTTCGTCAGCTGTTATCCCAAAAGGAAAGGTTGAGTTGTCTGTACTCGAGAACGGTTTGATACAGGAGACGTTCAATAAAATCGAGACGCCTTCTGTAAGCAAGCGAGTTTTCACGCCTTATGTGACCGAAAGCTAGCCTTTTCCCGTGCTTCCCTCGCTCCTTTGGCGTAGCTACGGGTTCTTTGCCTTCCAGCAACCGCTGAGATTGTACCCTCTGCACTGAAAGCACATTTCACATACACCGGCCCCCACCATTCTTTCGTAACTCAGTAGTCCAGCAACTTTTATCAAAGCTTCCCCATCGATCCGGCCGCTTTCATAGAATCAAGTTTCCCATCTTCAAACGCAGATACGACGGCAATCCGCTCTGCCAAACTCCATCCAACGCTGTCTACTGCCTCGTGAATCCGAAAGCCGCCCCCCCGCCCCCCCCAGGCTATGTCTCCGGTCGGCGCTGCGCTTATGGCCGCCGGAGTGGGGGGGGCCAACGGAAACGGAAACGGAAATGCTTCTTGCGTTGAGAACTGCGGAGGTGAGACAGGCTTGCTTCATGAACACAAGGGGTTTTTGAAGGAGAAAGCCTGTTAGGACCGAGACTTGCGACATTTGGATCGGGAAGAGCTTGTTTGGTGCGGTCTGCCGGATGCAGACTCATGCTGTGATCGTCCTATCTACGATTTCCTTGATTTATCCTTTTCTAATCTGGCTTGTAACCTCGTCTAGCAGATGTTACGGAACTCCAAGTTGCCGCCGAATTGCAAGGTTGCATAGCTAGTATCCTGCAAACTGCTGCAGACATCCACTGAAGGGCTGCGGATTTTTCGACCCAGCAAAGTTTCACCACACAGCAAGCATTCGCTACAGCACTCGGGCGCCCTTGCCGCTCTGACACGTGGCAGATTGTCATTGCAGGCGGCGGTTTCCACTGGACCACGACCGACACAATCGTCACCGCAATTTTCGTTCCTCTGGGGATTGTCGTACTCGTCATTCTCGCCTGGTACCTAAAACGCCAGTGCATGGCCCGGAGCCGGGGCCCGCTTATTGCCGGCGGAGTATATAAGAGCACCCCCGCAGGGTCGGGGCCAGCCCCTATGGGTACGTTCGGCTCCTGCTTATGTTTTGGGAGACGTTTGTTTGAAGGATTTCGGTGTGTTCAATGACCTTTGTTTGCTGCCTTGCCATCAGTTGGCAAAAGAGTCAGCGTTGCGCCATCCGGTTTCCTCGCGTTTGCACATCAGGCGCTTCGACTGTCATTGATCCGGCTACAGTCTTTGCCGGTAGGTCATGTGTCCGAGTTTCAGAGGATCGGAGAGAACTGTGACGCTATCTGTAAACCTCAAACGTGTAAGAGAGCTCTGTTTTCTAGCTATGTACGAAACTCGCATCCCTCCGTATGTTTCTGCAAGCCATTGCAAGGAACAAGGTCGAACAGCGAACCTTCCATGAGTCCACAAAACATTCCGAAGGTACGCTTCAACTCCAGCTTCGTGAGGGACACCCACTAATGAAAAGCCGCGTAATTCCTGCAGACCCCGCAAAGCCTGAGTACACATTCGACGCCAAGGGGGGGTCGTATTACCCCATGGCGGGCACCCCCTCCCAAACATCCACGGAAAGCATCGACAACAAGAGCGACGGGAGCGGCTCTCGCCTGCTGAAGCCTGTGGCCGACTTTAGCAACGGCGGCATGGCAATGTGGAGGCAAGGCACAATTGGCGAGGTGAGAAACGTGTTTACAAATTTCGAAGTACCGGTCCTCTTTTGGCAACTAGCTAGAGAAGTGCGAATCAGGTCAAGTGGTCGCCCAGAAACAATATGAAGAGAAAGTCGCTGAAGCCGGCGTAATTGCAAGTTGTACTGGGACAAAACCGAAATAAGCGGATGAAACTTTCGCCTTCTGAAAAGCTAAGCTTGCGGGTCGTTGGAAGCTGTTAGAGGCCGTCGTTTGAAGCAGGTCCGAGGCCTGATCAAACGTTCAGTCGCTGCTTTTTCTGGTAGCTACTTACAATATGTGCATCCCTCTTCGAAATGAAACCTGGATGCGTGCGACGATACTTGTGCTTGCTGTTTTGGGTGGTGCTCTACTTGTGTGACAGGGGTGTGACACGAGCTATCCTTCCCTGGTACGAGCTTCTTTTCATCCCCTTTTCCGGAAAAACCCAAAATTCAGAAGTCAAAGCAACTGTATACAAACCTGCAAGTTCCTAGATGCAGTTTCAAAGGTGCTTTCCCGTCCGCAGGTCCTGAAACGGAACGCTGAGCGCGCTTCCGTCGAGGGTTCCGTTGACGCCGGCACCCCCAACGGTAACGGCGCCGGCAACGGTAACGACTACCCGCTGTCCAGCCCCGACGCTGACACGCCCACGCCCGGCAGCCAGCGTTCCTCCAGGGATCGGTTCCGCCTGGACGGAGCGACCGGAAACGGAAACGTTCCGCTGCTGTTCACGTTCAAGGAGCTCCAGGGCGCGACGCAGAACTTCAGCCCGACGCTGCTGATTGGCGAGGGCGGGTTTGGCCGGGTTTACTACGGGGTTTTGGAGGGGCGCGAAGTTGCGGTGAAGCGGCTCGAGAAGGTGACGGCGCAGCCGGGCAAGCATGTAAGTGGTTTTAGGGGTTTTGGGGCGTCATTTTGTCTTGAAAAGACTGCATCTTGTCTCGAACTTGTTACTTGAATGAAGATGTTTCGGTTTTCTGTTGAGAAGCGAGGTTGAGGTGTAGCGGCTGGAGAAGGCGACGGCGCAGCCGGGCCAGCACGTAAGGTCTTTTTTGGGGTGTCAGAACCCGTGGAAGGAGAACGTGGACTACAGTTTTCCAATCTGAACCCCCACACCGATCAGAATCCCCTGTACGCAGGCCAGGGATGCACGCGTGACTCACGGAACCTCACAGTAACGTAACCTCGGGGTACTCCTGACCGATGAGTCGACCGAAGGCTCAGACCCCGCATGCAGATCTGAAACTTTGACCGGTCAGCCGCGCAGAAGTGGTCGGGGACTCAAACATAACCAGCCCAGCTACTTGAACAGCTGCGCGCGCACGGAGTACCAATCGGTGTGGGGGTCTCGGACTGCAAACTGCAGTCCGCGCTCTCCTTCCATCCGTTCTGTCAGCTTATCATCCTGGGTGTTGCAGTGTTTATTTTTCCGGGTTGCTTTGAGAACCTTTCGGGTTTTGGAGGGGCGCAGAAAAGAGATCATGGTCCTCAAGATCAATCATAATCATGTCGCTCCATATTTTCCTCCTTAGAAGGACTGTAAGACCTGATGCGATGCTCTTCTTGCAGGGCGAGAAGCAGTTCCGCGTCGAAGTGGACATGATGAGCCGGCTGAAGCACCCCAACCTGCTGGAGTTCATCGGCTATTGCGCCGACAGATACGAGCGCGCGCTCGTCTACCCGCTTATGGTCAACCAGAGCCTATTCCGGCGCTTGCACGGTGGGTTCGTTTTCTGAGGTTCTGAAATTTGCGTGACGTCAGCGGATCCTGGAATTTTCCGGTAGTGGTTTGGCTCGTGTGGGCCAAGACATCATTTTGACATGTGTCAAAGTATGCCACGTGTTGTGGCATACTTTGACACAAGGTAGTAAGAAGCAATGTTCCCCTTGGAGAACTAGAATGTTAAGTGAAGCCTGTTCAACGATTGTTTTGCGCTTTTGATCCTTTCAAGAGGCAAAGTACCTGCGACCTTTTTGTGGTGTAGTCATTACGCGACCTCGACCCAGGAAACTCTTCCCGAACGGTGAGCTCTCAGACAGAGGAAGTTCGTTCGACCACTGTTTTCAGTTGTTTTTCCGAGTGCTCCTGTTTAACGTCTTCTTATTGTGGTTCCCAGAGAGGAACCCCGGTACTGCCGCCCTTGACTGCCACCAGCGGATGACCATAGCGTATCAGGCGGCACGTGCCCTCGCATACCTCCACGACGAGGTCTCTCCACCCGTCATCCACAGGCGAGTCTATCATTACCTGCCCGACTGATGTCACGCACACGTCAGCAGACGTCGTTGTCCCACTGCTTCAGCACTTACTCTGGAGATGAGTTGCAACAAACGGACTGGTTCTTATGATGCGATTGGATTTGTGCGTCAAAATGAGTAAATTCAATGTCAATAGGCCTTCTCCGATTGCGAACCAACAAGAAGGTAGCAAAAATCTGTTCGTCACCTTCTGAGCAATGAGAGGAAGGAAATCTAAGAAAGAAGAAGACGAGGAATCCACAAGAAAGCAAGACAAGATTGCAGTGACATTGAAGTCAAAAACCCAACGCAAGAGCCTGATCCACCTCTCTCTTTTCACCTCTGCAGGGATTTCAACAGCAGCAACGTTTTGTTGGACGCAAAGCTCGACGCTGTAGTGTCCGATTTCGGACTGGCCAAGCTGGTGTCGGACGACTCGGGCCAATCGCAGACCACCAAGCTGTTCGGGACAATGGGCTACATGGCGCCAGAGTGAGCAGCCGTTCCGTTCCGTTTTGTTCCTTCCATTCCGTTCGGCTTTTTTCCAGTTCCGTTGCCTTCCGTTCCGGTTTGACCGACCATTTTGCGCAAGCTTTTGCGAAGTGTGCAAGTGTCCAACTTATTGGTCATCGTTGGGTACATGGTGCCAGAGTGAGCCGTTCCGCCCGGGCTGAATCCTTCCGTTCTCCTCGTTTGCTCAAATCTGCGTTTGCTTTCGAATCAGTGCAAACCAGCTCTGGGGGGTTCATGGCTTACCTTCGTGCCAGGTTAGGCAGCTTACCTTTTTTATCGCTTCCGTTCCGTTCGCTTTCTTTGATTGCTGAACGGTGGGACGGGCTTGGACCGTCACATAACATAACCTTCTTCAGCACCGTAGTTACATGACGTCAGCAAGGCAAGTATTCCGTGACGTGTGTTCCGTCGTCTGTGACGTTCTCCCGCACGACCTTCGCACGGCCGCCGAGCACAGCTTCCAGATCCGCGCTCGCATGACGTAACCCAGGAGTCTAATCTGGACACGTGGCATCCGCAGGTACCTCCACGGGCACGTGACCGACAAGAATGACGTGTACAGCTTCGGCGTGGTTCTGCTGGAGCTCATCTCGGGTCGTCGCGCCGTCATCTCCAAGGACCTCGACATCGTTCAGTGGGCGGCAGGCTACACCGGCGAGCGGCCGATCGGCCCCCTCGCGCGAATGGCCGACCCCCAGATCCAAGTAAGTTGCTCCGTTCGGCGTGCGTTACTATCTGCAGAAATGAAACGAAAGCGCCCTAGTTATTGTTGGCACGACACATCATGCCCTCTCAGCCGATATCTGGTTCTTGCTCCACAAGTTCTACCTCCTGAAGTTTTTCCTTGTAAGATGCCCGCTCTCCATGTTCCCCTGCCAACTTTCCGGTCGAAGCAAGTATCTGACACGTGGCTTCGTTCCATGTCAAAACCATGCGGACACCCTCTTATGTCGCAAGATCATGCGCTCTTTGCTCTCCAGTCATACACAACAACACGTGACTTCCAACGTTTTTTCTGAAATGTTTCTTCTTCCAATCATCCCCCAGAGTCGTATCCTGACATGTGTCTTTTCCTGATTGCAGGACCAGTTCCCCGCTGACGCCCTCCAGTGGGCGGTCGAGCTCGCGGCCGAGTGCATCCAGGCGGAGCCCCGGCGGCGGCCCCGCATGGCTGACGTGGCACGCGGCCTCGAAGTCATCCTCCAGGTGCGGCTGATGTCATCTTCGGTCACCTTCTGCAAAACGCCCAGCGGAATACTCTGCAAAGCTTCCTGTCAGACCCCTCCGTGCAGCTCTTTATGTCAGTGGTTGCCTCAGCGGTTCGCTGCATTGCCTTCCGGAAGAACGCCAGTTTTGTGCATGTTGCTCTGAGGTTCGATCCTGAATCTTGCTTCTATCAGATTGGAAACGAAAGAGTTCAGGTTTGGTGACCGTGCTTACCTTCATTCATGCCAATCTTATTCTTGTCGGTACCATTTGTTTTTGTAAACATAACAAACGACTGCCACCCGCCTTGTTTTTACGGCCAGCTTTGGACAATCACTTGGCAAAGTGGATTGTTCGCTTACCCTCCTCCTCCCTCCCATAGGCAATCAGACGTCAGCAGCCCACGTATGTTGCGCCCACTCCCAACACCCCCACGTCACCCGCGTCGTTGCTGACTCCGACTGACGTCATCACGCTCCCTGCGGGCTTCTCGATGACGCGGTTCCTTGGGAGCCTCAAGAAGCCTTGAAGGTCGAGGCAGGGTTGCTAACACATGTTACGTCATTGGTCCAGCGTTGAAAATAGTATTTGGGCCTTATGTTTTATGTTCAAACGCGTTGAATCAGGACAAAGCTAGTGGACGAGTGACAGCCAGCCTCATGCTTGGACTGTGCGAATACATGTATATTATTGTAAGGCTTACTAAAATTGCTTTCATGACAGTGCGGAGATTGCCGCTATTAGGGTGGCCAGGCACGTTATGCGGTGTGAGTCATCGTGCCATGACTCACAGGCTGTTACATTCAAGCACACAACCTCAGTGGCGGCCACACTGCATGGGCGATGCCCCAGACGTTTGACCTCAAACGTTGTGATCAAGGTCGGATCGGATCCGTAAATTTGCAGCTAGTGCTTCCGACCAATTTGCAATGGCGAGCGGCTTAAAATGCTTTTAGCGTGACCGTCTCGACGTGCGACGGTGTCGGCAGAATATGATATTGATGTTGTGCCCTTCATACAGGCTTCCAGTAAACATCTTAAGAAGCAGCTTCCAGGATTCGCACGTCATGGCTGCATGGCCGCGGGGACCGGACAAATGACTTGGCTCGGATGGGATCATGCAACATTCGATCGAGCTTGAGTGGCTTTGGGCCAGAATGATCGACGTGCTAGCTACGCTACAGTTACTAATACGTGGCCGAGATAGAATTAGCTTACGACTTAGCTTAATTACGAGTCACATTTTGATCATGCAGGTATGCCAGGGCCGCCGCCAGTCATATCTTATGTTAACCATGAAGCTTAAGCGATCGATTGCATGACGTAGCATGAGCTCCTGGCAAGGCTTGCATGTGTAACCGGACATATGCTCCATGCTGCCATGCAGGCAGTCCGACTGTCTAACATTCCGAGTCTAACAGTCCGACGGTCCAACATGCACTTATGCAGTGTTGCCTTCTCGACTACTCTGCGCCCCGCGGCCGCAACATTATATAATCATTAAATCTCTTAGACCACCTTGAGTCAATCAATTAAAGACTCAACCTTGTCGGACGCAGACGGTGATTCGCAAGAACGGCGTATTATACCAGTATAGAGCTTATTTATCCAATTGATCAGGCTCCGACAGAATCTGCCTTTGCGTCCCTTTTAAGTCTTCCAGTCAAGTAGTTACTTGGCTAGATCGCTCATATGTTGCGACGGACCAATAAATCTTATGATTTCGTGTTCAATGTCGATACAAGTATGAACCTTTGACTATCCGCTATCGGTAGAAACTCTCAACAAACGCGCCTGTCAAAAATAGTAATTTACAAAAGCTACGGTAAGCCTTGGCAACCGTACAGCAAACAAAGCCATGCTGATCTGTACAAGCGGTACCTATAAATACATCCGGAGTACGGACTCCCTAAAACTTGCCAGTGGCTGCTCCACTTTGGATCTCAATCGTCTCTGGCGTAGGAACAGCTAGCTTTTACACGAATGCCTTTCCCGCCCCGGCGACTGTGTGAAGGCTGTCTTTGACCCGCCTCCACATGCGCCCCGCACTCCTGGGAGAACTTTCCGCCCTGACAAACTCTTTGGCTTCCTTGTGGTTGAGGTCAGCCGCCTTGTAAAGAAACTCAAGGCCCAGCTTCCGGTCCTTTTTGACACCCTTCCCAGTCAAGCGGCGAATGCCCAACTGATACGCCGCCTCCGCATTGCCCTGATCCGCCGCGAGCGTCAGGTACTTAATCGGATCGACCCTGTCGTCGAAGCACTCTGCGAGCGCCAGCTGTGCGAGCGCGTTCCCCCCTGCTGCGGCCTTTGCGAACCACTCGTACGCCTGCGCGGGCTTCCGCGTAACGCCCTGCCCGTTTTGGTACATGCTCCCCAGAACATACTGCGACGCCGCGTGGCCTTGCTCGGCGGCCCTCATGATGAACGGGAAAGCTGTCGCCTGGCCCTTCTGCTTGTGATACTTTCCCAGAAAGGCGTTAGCACCCACCGCCCCTTGGGCCGCCGCCTTGCCGATCAACATAAGCCCCTGCTCCTCGTCCTTTTCAGTCCGATGCCCATTCAAATACAACAGCCCCAAAGCCTGTTGCGCGAGGGGATCCCTCGGGGGCTCGTCCGCCCACCGCTTAAGTTCCCCTAGCCCCTTTTTAAAAAGCTCGGCCGCCGTTTCTGGGTCCTTCGGAAGCCCTCCCAACCCGCCCTCATACGCCTCCCCCAGAATGAACTTGGCAGCCGGCTCCGGCAATTGAACCGCCTTCTGCGCACACTTGATCCCCTCCTCAACGTTCTGCGCCGTTCCCGTGCCATGGTAGTAGCCCTCCGCAACCAACGCCCACGCCTCGGGCACTCCCCCTGTGGCAGCCCTCTTGGCCCACTTGAACCCCTTCTGAGCGTCGTACGGGGCGCCTCGCGCGGGAACGAGGAAGCACTGTGCCAGCTCGAACTGCGCCTGGGGATCCCCGTCCTCGGCCAGGTCTGTGAGCCCGGCTAAGGAAATCCCGGGGCGGATGCGCGGCTCCAAGGGCTTGAGGGCCGGGGCGATCTCAGAGTCTTGCCGGGAGAGAGTGCGAGGGAGCGCTCGATCCGGCTCCACGCTTGGCGGCGGGGGGGGTTCCGCGCTTGGGGGCCTCAGCGTCACGCCAGCGTTTCTGGCCCACCCCTGAATCTGATCGCGTAAGGAGAGGTTGGGGATGACCTGGGTGCTCTCCAGGTGCTGGTTGGTCACGGGACAGGTGCGATGGCCGTCTCTACACACAAGATACAGATAAAAAAGTCGAAGTCAGATAGCATTCGGCAGTGCTTTTTGGTGTTCAGCTTGAAGATGTTTGGGGCATTGGTTTAGGTTATACCGCGCTGCTTATTCCTGTTGTGAAAGAAAAAAGGAGTTGACTGGGGTTCTTTGGTATCAGCTGAAATGTAAGGGAGCTCAAACTCTATATAAGAACAGCCTTGAAAACAATTTGACGCTATGCAACAATACCTATTTCCATACTTCTGACCAATGTTCTGCCCACAACACCTCAAATCACCTCCTGCGATAGGTAAGGCATGTTCAGCAGACCCAAACCCCTAATCCACTTGTTGCGTTGTAGAAAGTAGAGGGGGAGCGCCCGAGATACACACCAGCTTCGGGATACATACCTCCCCTTAATACTCACTACTTTGTGAACTATGTTGACATCTGCTCTTCATCCCACAAACACCTTGCCATGGGAAAGTTGCCAGAACGTGTTCAGGGCCCATTGTGAGTCAACAGCGTAATCGCCTACTTCAAAGCCTTGGTGCATGCCGTCAACAGCAAGTCTACCCTTACAACCGGTGGAATTGCATACCAACAAGTAGCATAAGGTTGGAAACAGAGCAACGCTTTGATTGAAACAACCCAGAACCACAGGGGAGTCCCCACAAACAATGAGAGGAATACAATCAGCAAGCCCTCTATTAAAAGAAGATACCTTTCAAAATGATCGATGGAAAGCGCTCCACAGAACAACTACTGAATCAAATTCGAGACACTCAACAAGTGCCATTGGCTGATACTATGTAGTCGTACCCACAAAGGCAAACTGCTGTGCTGAGGCCCCCATTAGAACAGCTGGAGAACTTGCCAATCAATAGAGGCAAGAGTGAGGACTTGGATAACTACCTGCCTAACAGGCGGGTGCACTGCTGGAGTCAAGAACGAATGCCCAATTCCAATGTACGCAATACCTGTCAGGCATTCAAAACCCTCTCTCAATCCATGTTGCCAGAACCCTCGAACAAGCGAGCAAAGCAATCGGCCCCGAGCTCACCCGAACCATTTCTCAATCTGGCTCCGCTCGTACGTGATGTAAGTTTCTACGATGATGACAGGGTCCCCCATCACGTCCCCACTGATCGGGCACTTGTAAGTCTCCGGAACCTCCAGCTCCCCCGACCCGCCCGGGCTCGGCAGCTGCTCGTCGAGCTCCTTCAGCAGGCCGATGACCTGCGCCATGAAGCTCTCGTCGGCCTCGGCGCACCCGGAGCTCAGCTGCGTCTGCAACTCCCTGTTCTGCCGTTCTAGCGCCTCCAGGTCCGCCCGATACTGGGCGACATCCTGTGCGGTGACCTCGCCTGTCTGCTGGAGGTGCGTCACAGCTCGCAGAACCGCTCGGGGGCTGCTGAGGTCAGCGCTCGGGAGCCGCACCCCCTCCAGCAGGGGGTCCACGTACCGCAGGGGGTTGACATTCCGGAACGCATTGACAATGTCGCCGCCGATGAAGTCAATGTCCACCAAACAGTACGTGATCTGCTGGTTGACGTCGATGATCCCGTCCCGGATCCTCTGGTGGTTCAGCAGCCGGTACACTTTACTCCTGCTGCATTCTTGGAAGAGGCGGAGAGCTGCCTTGAATTGGAGCTGCAACGCGTGCAGGGCCGCGTCGTACTGCTGCGCCAGGTCGCGCCTGCCCTGCAGCTCCTCCACTCTGGCCCTCAGCCGCTGAATCCTGCTGTTTAAAACCCCCCCCTGCGTCTTGTGAAACTTCAGGTTCTGGAACGCGTCGTTGATGCCCCTGCCGAGAGCCACTACACTCTGCACGACATAGAGCGGGTCGGCGCTCATGGCTGCAAATCTGACGGTGCAATGTGGAAAATTATGCTGGATACAGGTTTCAGTGGCGCTGGGCAGCGCCACTGAAAAAGTCAGGCTGAGCCTTGGCTGTCCAGCATCTGGCATGGCAAAGCCGAAGGCTTTTGCAAGCTCACGAGTCAATCCACGGAGGAACGCTCGACCTCAGCAGAAGCTCAAAAAGCTGCCTCCTTGATCGAAGATTCGACGCGGTTTGAGCACGCTCTGCAAAATGGCAACATCTAGATCTGTCACACAGATGTGACGAAACAAAGGCCCAGAGAGGAATCAGCAGGGGGCCTCGGAGAGGCGGCAGCCCCCATCGAACATGGGGCTCAATAAGCGGGCGGAGAGTATGTACCGGTCAATATTCCTCTGTGCAATTTTGACTGGCAAAGATTCTCCTCTCATCATTGCATTTTGTGCCCTGTTTCACCATCTGGGTACGTATCCCGGGCCACAGCAATACCGTTGATTGCCTCTTGCTTCATTTGGGCAATCCCTCTCAAATGGTACCGCTGTACGCACTATACGGGAGCAGGTACCTTCCGGTCTGTGGATACCGGCGGGGTCCGGACTCTAGCTTCATACCCCAAACATGATTCTCAGACACCATGCCATGCAGCCGTAGATCGCGAATACTTGTGCTTAACGGACGGTCCGACGTGCACAGTGAGCACTGCATGAGCGCACATGGATGATCTCCTACATCGCCAGAAGCACTCACCAAACTTATAGGACTGAAGTATGCCACCGGTATGCACAAGTGCCCCGCCCCTCCCAAATTGATCTTTTTCGAATACAATGGCCGAGTCCATGTGTTCACGGATCCCCAGGCAAAATAGGAATTCGCATCAAAATCTGCATCACACTACAGAAAACAAATCTCAAAAAGGAGAAGTGGAAGCTGACCGACCATGTTGGAAATCGAAGCTGGATCATCTCCCGACATGTTTGATATACAACGCTGCGGCTATTCCTGGGTAATCTAATGAGCATTATGTATCGCAACCATAGACGCCACATTTGGAGGGGCTTTCCTTGATACTTAAACAGTCATTTTCTTAACAAGGCACATATGCCAAATTTGGAGGGGCTTTGCTCTCTTATGAACCGGGTCAATCACTCTTCTTTTCGCTTCCTCTTCCCTGTTCTTTGCATCCGTGCCGCGTATTTTCTCTGCGTGCCTTCTCCTGATCGAAACAAACTTCTACTCAGAGCGATGGCGCTGAGGGTGCGGACGGATCGAGAGGGGCCAGAGGAGGAGCCGCAGTCAGAGGCTTGGTGCTGTCTAGGGTGGCGTAGCGTGGCGGCTTAGGGAGGATGTTGTTTGACGTCATGTATCCCACAACCTGTTCACACAATCCTTGGAAATCTTAGGAACCCGTTGTCGACACTCGTTTGAATATGAAGGGTGGAGGTCTGGGTACAGGTGTTCGAAGCCACGTATCTGACAACTTGCAAACGCAGAGGTCGTACACGGATCCTTACTGGAACAAAAGCAAGCCAGCGACCGTCTAAGAGCATTTCAACGTCTGCTTCGATGGAAAGATCCAAGTTTTGCATACAGGTCAGCCTCGCTAAGTCAACGCAATCTTGGAAACTGCAAGCTTCCGACCATTCAAATCTCTTCCAACCCAGCAATAGTCACACCATCCGCGGCATGTAGAAGCGCTCCCACGAAAGAAACAGTACGAAAATCGAAGAAAGTCTCCCACAAACTCATATCGAACGGTCGCAAAAGCTCTCCGAAAACGATGGCGACGTCAGGAGCGTTTGACAAACCTGTTGCGGCAGTTCGGCCAGCAGCTCCGTGGCGAGCTGTTGCGAGAAGCCGGTCCCTGCGCCAGGCCGTTGATTCTGCGCGAGCAGCCTGGAAATGGGCACAAATTGGACGATGTCGCGCGCCGCTGCCACGCCATTGTGACTCAGCCACCGCTCGTCGGCGTCCAATACCTGACGAGCACGTGGCAACAGACCGATGAACAACGAGCTGTGTACAAACAGGATCAGTGACCAGAAGTTTGAGTAGAACTTATCTTCCAACATTGTACCGTTTCGTTTACGATGGCCAAATAGTATTCTCGTAAAAGTGACGCTTTTTTTCAGCGCTTTTGTCGAGATTGTTGAAGGAAAACTGCGGCAAGGCCTACGCGGTGGCGCCAATGAAACTCTCCAGGAACAAAGCTAACATATGACGACATACACAAGGAACAAAACCCACGATAAACAACATACACAAGTAGGATCAGAAGTCAATAGACATCCGTTCATCCACGTGCAGGCCGGAAAGTCAACCGCCCTACCGAAAGCAACATACATGAAGCAAAACTTGGACGAAATTCGTCGAAACCATCCAGGTGCCAGCCGGACAGTCAACCACGCCTGCAAACCGTGCTATCATGCGCCCAAACTGCTATGCACATACGGCTCCATAAAACTGCAAGACCTTCTCAAACTGCGAATCTTCTGGATGAGGGACTCACGTCCATCGCCGAAAAATCCGCGGCCCCAACGCCCACGATCAGAATGCTCAGCGGAAGACGTGACGCGTGCACGATCGCGCCGATCGTGCTCTCCATGTCGTTGATGACGCCATCCGTGATGATGAGCAGCACGTAGTACGCTTGCGCGTCGGGCGCGGAGGGCTCGCGGCCGGCGTACTCGCAGGCGGTGTGGATGATCGGGGTGAAGAGCGTGGGCCCGGCGAGTGCCACCTGGCGGATGGCAGACGAGTAGGCATCCAAAACGCCACGCACGCCATCGACCTGCAGCATTTAAGAACAGAGCCGTTTGCAATTTTTCTCTTATGAGGGTTTCAGAAGGCCTCGCAGGCGGTGTGAATGACCGGGGTGAGCTGAGTGGGCCCAGCAAGTGCCACCTGGCGAATGGGGGCCGAATACGCGTCCATCACCCCGCGCACGCCGTTGACCAATGGGTTTATAAGCAGATTAAATCTTTCAGGTTGAAGACTTGATCTTAGGATTCTAAGAGACACAGCAAATTCGCAGGCGCTGTGGATCACGGGGGTGAAGAGAGTGGGCCGAGTGCCACGTGGCGAATGGGGGACGAGTAGGCGTCCATACCACCGCGCACGCTGTCAACCTAGGGGTTCGCCGGAAAAGTAGACTTTCAACCGACAGGAAAAGGTCCTTGAATCACAGCCAGATTGTGATCCGTGCTGTCGGAAGCAAAGCAAGGCTAAGATATGTCAGAAACTGCTGTAAAAGTGAACCCGAAACGGGGAAAGGGCTCTACTCACTGTCGGGTTGCGGTCGGTGCCGTTGAGTGCGAAGCAGTGCGACACAGGTTCCGTGCCGAGTTTACCGCCGAAGCCCCACGCCGGGAACTGCTTGTCGGTGTCGTAAAACTCAAGGACTTCGCCCACGGACACGATGGCCTGCTGGTACGGATTGAAGCGGCCTGCAAAGTTTAGTTCACTTTGTTACAAGAATCGCACAGGTAACTGGAGACCAAAGCAGTGTGAGCGCTGGAGATCCGAAGTAGTGTAAGTGATTTTCAAGATTCTAAACTTGCAAAAACGTCCTAAGTGACAGTGTTGAACATCGAATGCTGCTCAAGCATCCGACCGACCAAGAGGGTAGCCTGTCGATAAAGCATCAGATGCCCTGCAAGAACACACTTTCAGCCAACAGCAAGTGGTTTCGGTCTCACCGACGAGTACGGTTTCTAGGAAAGTATGGACTTGGGGTTTAGCCAGCCGAACAATTCAATTACTTTGGAATCTCGAAGAAAGGGCGGGGAAAGCACTTCCCATGTGCCGCCAAAGGCGCGTCAACAGAGCACACATTCGCAAGTTTCTGAGTTTGGTTTCGGCTTCAATGTCAAATACATCTCCTCTTCCGCTGGAAAAGCAATGGAGGGCAGTCAAGAAAACCTTCCAGAGAGTTCCGCAACGGAACAACCTTACGAACCTGAGAAAATAAAAGGCGGTGAACTGTTCTGCGCATCCTCATCTAGGTCTTCCCGCTCCAGACTTCGTGATTCTGGTGACTTAGACCGCGCTCTCGCAGGCGGGGCCCAGTTGGAGGCGTGACGTGTTTGACCAAACTCCATTACTCAGGGGTTTCCTATTTCGAACATAGTAAATATCAGTGGGACTATGACGGGTGCTTACCGTCGGGGCTGACAAAGTGGAGGGAGGCGGGGTCGTTGGGATTCCCGTTGGAAGCGGTGAAGTCGATGGCCACCAGGAAGCTGACCTCCAGACCGCCCCGGATGTACTCCAGAAAGCTAGGCCGCGGGGTGACGCTCGCCTCGTCCTGCAAACCGGTACTCTGTTATTCTCTCGATTAACAATAACCCCAAAATCAAAACCCCTGAAACCCTATGATTTTAGCATTTCAAAAACGAAATGGCCGCTTCAGATGTACTCCAAGAAGCTGGGCCGGGGGACGACGCTCGCCTCGTCCTGCAAACCGGTACCTTGTTATCATCTTGGTCAACAATAACCCCAAAAGCAAAACCCCTATAATTTCTTTTTCCAAAACAGAAGTTAATCTCCAAGCCGCCCCGGGTTGTTACTCGTGAAAATTAGGCCGCGGGGTGACGCTCGCCTCGTCCTGCAAAAGGTAGGCAAAAAATCAAAACAGGCAGGTCGCAAAATGTTGCAATGCTCGGAACGCACACAAATCGATACTAAACTCCCAAAAACGGTACCCTTCCACAATAACAGGTAAAGAAAGTGCCTAAGTCTGCGTCTGAGGCACTCACCAAGACAAATATGCCCGAGCCGACGTAGCCCTTCGTCGTCACCCCCTCGCGCTCATTCTTCAGCGGCAGCCATGCGGCGCTAGCCCCATGCACAAGCTTGCATCCCGCATGTTCGCGCCGCATTCTCAGAAGACTTCGAACACCCTGATATGCAGTATCCCAGAACCATGATTGAACTGGTGTCGAACCTTAAAAGTCTGAGCTGCTAAATATGCACTCACCACGACCAGTTTGCCCGAGTCGACGTAGCCCTTGTTCGCCACCGCCTTGCGCTCGTTTTTCAGCGGCAGCCGCGCGGTGCTGGCCGCGCGAGCCTGCAGGTCGCGTAGACTCGTGCTGCACTCCCCGATGACGTCATGCTTGCCGCTCCGGTTCCAGTCGGAAACGCGCACCGCGAGCGGGCGGTCCAGGTCGCCGTTGCACAGGTGTTGGAGCGAGATGCGGATGGGATTCCAAGCCGGGTGCAGCGTGTTGTGCTTCACTTCGGACTGCAGAAGACGATCAAGAAGCAGCTGTCTTCAGAGAAGAATTGCCGTTGCAAAAGTGTACAGGTGAACCGGTGTACAGGTGTACAGGCCCCCCTGCAGGATGCAACAATCTATGCTTCACGGCTGTTGTACAGGTGTTGGAGCGAGATGCGGATGGGGTTCCAGGCGGGGTGCAGCGTGTTGTGCTTCACTTCGGACTGCAGGAAAGATATATCAGCATTTTTAAACTAAAAGATTTGAGAGGAGGCCAGGGCTAGGTTAAACATAGTCCGTTGCACAGGTGTGGAGCGAGATGCGGATGGGGTTTCTAGGCAGGGTGCAGCGTGTTGTGCTTCACTTCGGACTGCAGGGAAATTTCAAATAGTTCCAGGAATTTTACTCAGAAACAACTACGGCTGGGTTTCAGACTGAGAGGAACTTGACGGGATGCCAGGGCCAGATCAAGACCTATCGCCGTCGCACAGGTGTCGGAGCGAGATGCGGTTGGGATTCCAAGCAGGGTGCAGCATGTTGTGCTTGACTTCAGACTGCAGCAGACGAGAATTTAGGTTGCATCAGGGCTTGAAGGGGCGGTGTAAGAAGAGAGAACGAACAACGCCAGGAGAAACTCAAGGTTCCAACAAAAGGTCTGCAGTAAAAGAAGGTGAACAAGGACGTTTGATGGGTTCCGACACCCTGCAGAGCAATTATTTCGGCCAAAAGGTGATAAAGGGAAAACACGCACTGCCCGAGGGTTGGCATACAAGGTTTTTCCAATCGCATCAATTTTGCAAACCGCTTGGCCTCTTCAGATTTGTTTAACTGCCCGACTTTTCCGAGTGCCTGACGTCAAGGTACGCTTCTACATGTGTTCGCAGCAATTGCCGCCTTTCATTGAAGCAACCGACATTCAAGTTCGAGAGCTTGATTGGTCCCACTTTCCCACGGGAGACCACTCGAAGCTCTCAGGCAAGTGCAACCAGCCCCGGAGTATCCAAAGCAGAAAGCAACACCAAACGGAGCCTGCCCCAACAAAAAACGACTTCCCAATCAAAACATGTGCCTGATGCTGATATCCCACAGCTCCTCCCTCCTACACTGGTTGTCTCGAAGACAGCTATGCTTCGGCTTCGCAGGGCGGCCTTACCTTGAAGACGGGGCTTTGCGTTCCATCTTCGTTGAGGCGGGAGAGGAAGAGAAATGGGTCACTGCTTCCGACAACGTCCTTCCTGTCGACGCTTTCAGCCTGGGCAGCATGAAATCCGGGTTAGGGGCGGGTTACAATCGTTCGGGAACCAAAAGTTACTAGCACATTCCGGATACAAAGGATGATGGATCCCACGTCGGTAGGCGTAACCTGTCTTCACCAACATTTTGAAGAGGCATTTTGTGCAAATCCACGTGGACTGTCTGTTGCCATCGAGTCGGCCATCTGCAGGATTTACAGCTTTGATTTACCCTATTCGTCTCAAGGGACACACGGACGCACAAAACCCACTGCATGAATCAAGTCTCCTCTTTGGCTACTTTCAGGACTGTGCCTGATTGTTTCGCAAAAGTCTCCTGCAGGAATGACCGTGACCCTTGCCTGGCTCCAAGCTTACGAACGCATTAGCGAAAACGAAGCCAACAATATAAAGCCGATGCAGGGCAGAGGTTCAAAACGACATTGTATCGAGGTTCTTCCCCGTAGAGAAGGAACGAAAAAGAAAGAAAAAAACGGAAAAGAACGAAAAAGGACAATCTATCAAAACGGATGTGCTCACCCGCAGCCGGAGGGTGACGTTGGCATTGCTCCCGGTGACCTCCTCAGCTCGCACTGGCAGGACGAGACACGAGTAGATGTTAGCTTACAGATAATGTGCGTTCTTATGAAGCTTGATGACGTTCTCAACGTTCTGAACATTTTGCAGATGATCAGAAGCATGAAGCTCCTGGCTTTTCAGAAGCCGTCCTATACTCGTATGGGGACTAGCTGACGGGCCCGAAACAAGTTTCTTACCGTTCGTGGAAGGAGGAGCCAATACGCTCCTTAATCTTCAGCTGCATCTTCTTCACGCTTTGAATAACAACATGATTAAACAAGGGTTCTCCCAATCCGGCGAGCCCCATCGTCACCATCAGAGAGCATAGCCGTTTGGCTGCGACTTCTTTACGCTGATAGGTGTGCTCCAAAATGGGTCCTTCCAGAAAGCGAGCCCAATCGGGACAATCGGGAAGCACAGCCTATGATAGTAGATTCTGAAGGCTTCTTTGCGACCTACCTGTGACTGTGCCCTGAGCTCGTTCGGGACGCTGGAGGTTCCTCACAGGGCGCGTAAGCTTTTGGCCGGCAGTAGTGATGACCTCAGCGAGAACGAACTCGACTTCGCCGATGAAGTCTTGGCGGGAGAGGTCCACCTGTGGTGCCCACATGAGCTTATGGTCAGTCACGCATGGTCGGCAGCCCTTCTTGTCTAGATTGGTTAAGAATTGAATTGGTAACTGTGAAGTCGGTTGTAAGAATGTGACCAGGTGCAGTTGATAGCGGAGGTCGATGCCACTGACCTTGATGACGGGAAACCATGCGTTGGCAGGGCGGTGAAAGAGAAGGGTGTCATTGACAACGAATGAAGGGCCTTGAAAGAAAGACCGTGTGCCGGCTGGCAGAGCATGCCCTGAGCTGTGATACGAAGATACTCAACCATGAGAACAATATGAAACGTTTGCGATTTTTTGCCAAGCGGACTGGGACAACTGCATGCCCTGGACAGAAGGGATGATTATATAGTTTTTGTCCCGGGTCTTTGGGCCTCACCTTCTGAGAAACATTGGTGCCGATCTGCGTGTCAACGTCCCACAGTTGCACTTTCATCAGCTGACGCTCCTCAAATGCATACAGGGCTCGAAGCTGCTTCACAAAGCGGGGCTCTGCAAAAAGAGGAGTCACAGAGTTGGAACTGTAGCGTGGAAAGATACCAAAGAAACGCCCCAGAAAATCTGCCATTCAAAAGGACCACCAATTTTCCAGGCTGTCTGACCTCCAATCAGTCCATGCACTGTCGCAAGGCAATGGAAGGATTCAAGCACTTTGTCGTTAAATGGACATCTGCACATCGCTCCAAACTGATGCTCTGTACGGCGCTCACCGTGACCTGTGGGGACCACCTTCGTAACCCCAGAGTTCTAACCTTTTCGCCGATGAACATTCCAAAAACCTCAACCAGAGAAACTTGACGTCGTCCAAACAAGTGAACAAACACATCGAGTACCTTCTGCATCAACACCCGTGGAACACCCCCCCCCCCAGACAAAATCCTGTCAAACCTCCACTGCTCGCCTCAAGGCTCAATGCACCCAAGCCTGCGCCACCGGCCTAAGGCAGTTTCGGACTTTTCAAGAAGAATTCAGCTTCGAAGGCAACAAAGACTCCACCGACGCTCGGAGACACCCCGAGCAACGTGCGGATACAATCCTCCGTCAAACAGACAAGTGCAACAGGCACATATTGAGTTGCTTCCATCTTACTTTGTACCACTGCCACAAGACAACTTGAAACTTATCAAACAGTATCCAAACAAGCGAAGGACACCTCAACCAGCTTTTAGAGAGACTCCGAGACACCCGCTCACATAATTCCCTTTCTCAGTAACACACGGATCCATCGCCTGTAGAGTTGTTGAAAAATTCTGTGCGTCCTGATTCACACCACTGGCCCGTTGCCTTTGAAATTTACCCGCGAGTGCAGTCCCAGATGTCGAACGAGTAAGGGCCAAATCCACAACAGTTGGAAACCAGCATTTACAAGTGCTTCTTCGAATTCACTTTACAAATCACTTACCTGTTGAGTTGCTGATTACCTCAGTGCGCCCTACTTCGCGCCACTGCCCCGCCGCGCTCTGCGTCAGGAGGACGGCCATAGGGTCTGACTTGGAGAAAGTGTCCAGGTTTTTAAGGTTCCTGGCGCTGATGCTGATGTCGACGGGGGAAGCCAGGCCCCGCGCCTGGCCCATGAGCGCCGCCGCATCCTGCGCCTCTTCTCGCGCTGCAAACGGATGGTAGTGAATTCAGTATTGTTTCAAAAGGGGTTTGAAAGAACATACACGGTAAACATTGTTCAATAAGTTGGAAAAAAAATGCCTTGAACTGGCAACTTTTCGTCCGGTCGGCATGGGGAGTGGAGAGTGGGGTGGCCTGCGATGCAAATACGTGGGGTGGGAAGAAGGAAATAATGTCACAAGGAAGCGATAAGAGAACCAGGTGCTTCTACCCTGCGCTGGATAGGGGCTTAAGCGGCATCAAGGCTGACGACCTGCTGCTAACCTAGTGTCCCTGAATTGATCCTTTCTATCTTGTCGTGTACGGTACAATGAGCTGGCATCGAACCCCCCTTAGCTTGTATAACAAATATCCAATCACGTAAAGTCCAATCTTTGTAGAGAACCAGTGTGGCTCTGGTTCAGCCACCTCTCCTTCACCCAAAGGAGGGGACAAAGAGGGGGTTTAGAGTTGTAAACTTTCTCATAGTATCCCCTCCAGCAAGGTGCTTCAGAGCCTCTGGTACGGCGTCAAGACGAACACGTACATGTTGGATCATGTAAGGATGCGGTTCCAAGTAGATCAACAGATAGCAGATTAGCAGCTGCGCAATGCTGCCACCTTGCCTAGGGACTTAGACTTCGCTGAGCCTCAGCAAGACAAGATCAACTTTTCTACATGCAGCTTCTCTCAGCATCATAGATGCATGTCACAAGCACTCTGACCAGTGAGCAAACATCAAACCTCGACCACGTTTTTGTTCAACTTATGCACATACCTTGAGTGACCCTGCTCCATCAGAAGCCCCGATATGCATACACAATTTTTCATCCATTCAGCTGCTGAACAGTGTTGTTAGGACAGCCTATCTCACCTTGGCTGCGTGACCCCTGAAAAACTGCGTCCTCATCCGTTCCGCTACTGCAGCATTGACCCATGATGGTGGTGCGGATCTTAAGCTGTCGTCTGCGTCAAGCGGGCGCTGTGGGGCGCAATTGTAGAACACCTAGGGAATTCGAGAGGAAGAATCTGGTTCTGAATTACAGGTGTCTTTGGCAAAATTCAGAAAAGAGTGTGAGGTGCCTAGTGGCCAATTTTCTGGAGGCGACAGTGGTGGCGACTTTGTTGCTGGATGCGAAGAGCACCTTCCTCTGCAAAGTAGGTTGGTCCAATGCTTGGAATGGCCTTCACCTTCTAAGAAAGGCGCTTCTCGCAGCTAACTTGGCAGCAAAATTGGTGCTGGTGGCAATTGCAGAAAATTTGAAAAAGAGTACCTGCTTCAACTTTTGTGCTGGACTGCCCTTCTCGGAGCTTCTCCTCTCCCTGTATAGCACTAGGTACATGAAAGGCTTCTATTGCACGCGCTGCGAAATTTTGAATTTGAAGGCACTACCCTTCGCGTCGCCTCGTCGAGGAAGAAGGCGCGGAAGCAGGGCTTGCCACCAACTTTCACCGGTGCCGGCTGTCTACCGGCCCACCTACACTTCTACCGGCTGGCCACACGGGCTAAAGCACCGGACGCCGGTTCTGCCTACATAGGCGCCCAGCATTTTCTGCCGGCTATCCAGGCACCGGTGCATCCATCATTTCTGCCGGCCAGGTCCAGCACCGCCGTGCACCGGTTCGTGGCAAGCACTTCGCCGAAGGCGGCAACGGGTCCTGTGACCTTTCGTTAACCGGGGACATGCTCCAAACGCCGGGAGAACGGAGAGGCGAGAAAAGTGGGAATAGGCAGATAAGGGAACATAAGAGGGCAGACTAAGATAAGAGGCGGGGCAGACTGAAAGGAGGGAGAGATTTGGCTGCAAAGGGCGCATTTACACATCAAGTCTGTACATTTTGCAAGATAATGGAGTACTGCACATGTACACGGAATACGCGTACGTTTTGCAGTCGGAGAATGCATTAGGTGAACCCTTGAGCGGCGTGAACCGTCGATGTCAATCGACGGTTTCAATCTGCTCTCGTGGCTTCTTGTATTGTGTGTATATTTTGTGATTCACATTTTGTGAGATGGTTTGTTATTGGCCGAAATGGTAGGAGCGTTGAATTGACAGCGAAGGGTCGACGGTTCGAGTCCCGCTAGAGAGCATTCCGCATTTTTCCTAGAGTCAGGCCACGTGTCAAGAGTACACCATGTACGCTCTTCTTGTGTACACTCTGTAACAGAAGTCACTCTATCGCGTTATCTTCGGCAGTCTGTTGAAGGGCCGCAGACTGGTTTCGGGTCGCCCTAGGACGTTACGCAGTCTGAACGTGCCAGTCGAGTATGCATACTATCTGTTATATGCTTGACGTTACGTCGGGGGAGGGGGGTTTCGACAGTACATATACATACAATACATATACCATACAGTACAGCGTTGCACACGCGCGCAACTTTTAAGATCTTTCACAAAACCAGGGGGTAAATCTGTGCAGTCATTTCAAACTTATACGTGAATTTATTATCAAAATTTTATAGGCCGCACTCGCGTACAATAGGCTTCATTAAAGTTTCCCGGTTGCGGAGATCCGGTTGCGTGGGCAACCCCCGGGCCCCCTGCTTTGCTTCGACAGTCGACTTTCGCGAGTCATGGTGCATTAGGGTACCGTCATTTTGTACCTGGTACCCCCCCATTCATATTTAGGGGGTACCCACTAGAGGCCTGACTGATGGGCTGAAGCCATCCAAGGGGGGTGGTTACGAGGATAACCAAGCTCCCTGGGCGGAGGGGGGGGGGGGCTTGGGGCTTGGGCGGAAGGCCCAACTAGGCCGGCCAGGAGCTGGATTAGTCACAAGTTACCGGCCCACATAAACATACATATTCGCACCTGTAAAACCAGCAGTACGACCAAAAAGTTTGCCTGTTGTAAGCCGTTCCTGAGCAGAATCCACAGAAGTTCTCAGAACAGTAGACACCTCATAGATCAGGTCTTAATTTTGTTAAAATCTAAATTCGCAGAAAACTCCAAATATTGGTAGCAAAAATCTGGGCTCCGGGGCCCAAGGAGTTTCTGTAGCCAGCAACCCAGGGAGGGGGGGGGGCTTGTGGCTTGGTGCCCCGAACGGGCCACTAGGGGGTCCTGGTAAGGCGGCTTCGAAAAAAAGGGTCGATTTATGAATGGGGGGGTGCCAGTTACAAAATGACGATACCCTTATGTCGGATGCCAATGGTGGCACGTTCCCACAAAATACGTTGCAAGGTCTTTGGAAGGACAGCTCATGGAGAGCGCTCACTACGAGTAGTCCTACCGGCCTGTGTGCACCTTGATGCTCTGGGCACATTCTTAAGCGCCTGGGAATTGGATCAATTTGCTGCCAAGGAGGCCATTGCTGGCCCCCGGGATCTATGTTTGAAAGCCGTCTCGCACCCACATTTGCAGCTCGCGAGCTGCGATACATAATCAAGCAAAGGGTTTGAGCAAGGTTTTTCTGAAATAGCACAATGCAAGTCACACAATGAGCAACTGCTCTCCAAAAGCGGAGTTTTGAAGGGCACGAGGTTTTCAAAACTCCAAGGTCTTGTTTGAGGCACCTTGTCCCTGTCGTCATTTGCCAAGCGCCTTCTGAGTCATGACACCAGTGGTTTGAGGAAGTAATCCAGATCTAGAATAGGTACCATCTGTAACCACTAGCCTTAGATCGCCCACTAACCCGCACTTGGATGCCGCCCTGACCATGGCCTCTAATAAGCGTAGGCTCTCCCCAACGGCTCTCATTGCCCTCCTCTTGATACCCGTGGGGCTGCTGCTTCTTTACCAGACGCCCCCCCAGGCGCTCTTTGCCAGTGACACGCGCACTAGGTCCTTCCCAGGCGATGACCTCATGTTTGGTGGGGACAAGTATGAAGGGAGCGCCGCCGAGTTGCTCGCAAAAGCTATCGCATTGTCAGAAAACATGCAGCGCCAGGGGCGCGTCCTAAGGGAACGGTTGGCGGCGCAAGAGACGCAGCTCTCGGCAGGGCTTACGCAGCAACTAGAGGGGAACACTCTTTCCACCGAGCGGCGCGGGGTGCTGTCGTCAGCATACCCCCCCTCGTTCACGAAATGCCACCACGGGGACTGGGAGGGGTATCAGGAAGACGAGTTTCCCCTGGTGAAGTGGACCCCCCGGAGAGAGAAGTTCATGCTCGCGGCGTGTTACGATGGCGGATACTCGAACCGGATGCTCTGCATCACGTTCCTGGTGCAGATCGCAGCAATGCTGGGACGGAGAATGGTGCTCCTTCCCTGGCCAGGCATGATTCTGCCGCACCAGGGGGGAGACGAGTGGATCACGTTCGACTTGGCGTCGGTCATCGACGTCGACTTCATGGCTTCGTGCGCGGCGACCGGAGATGCTGCTCTCACTTGGGACGCTTTCCGGAAGGAGCATCCCGGGCCGATTGCAGCCGCCGGGCTCTGCTTTGAGTCGCCAATAGCAGATCCGACGAAGTTGAAGCAGCCGTGTGGGTGGGCAATCCAACACGGGGCCGAGAACTATGACATCAACGTGGATTTCAAGGGCTGGGTAAACGTCACGAACGCACTCCCGGAAGACGAGCTAGTGCAAAGCCTGAGGCAGGCAGGCGATCCGGACGTGGTATGGGTCTTGGGGACGCACAACAACATCCCGCACGTGTGGAACAACGGGCAAATGCGTCCCAGTTGGCCGTACACGCCCGTGACGCGCACGTGAGCCATTCGCGTGTTCCCTCTCTGGTTACCTTCTTCCCATTTTGTTCTTTCCCCTTGGCCTGTGCTCGTGTCTCGGTCACGTCGCAGCACCTCCTCTTTCCATTTCTTTGCTTCACTAACGCCGTGGCAAATGTGAGGCCTCAAAGTCAGGAGCTTTGGGTCAGAACAACCGGATCTGTCACATTACTCGTGGAGAAAAGTCCTGCTAGTCTGTCAATGACTGGTTTGGGATGGACATCGCTCTGTAATACAGATCCTGCTTACTCTTTGGAGACCAAGTATTTGTCTTTGAAATCAAGGCTGCCCCACCATGATTGTGGGCAACTAGCGCCGAATACCCAGATAGTAATATAGTACATGGGGTTCCTTGCGCTGTCATCTTTCCGTTTCGGCCAAAGACAAGCGTCGTTGAAAGCTCTATCCAAGCCCACAGAATTGAGAAGCACGTTTCTGTTCCATTGTCCTGCAGCAGGAAAAGTTGAAAAAGGAGGAGGCAGGAGAGCTGCGTGGGTGTTCTATCTGTCAAGCTGCAGAGCTCAGATTAGATAGGGCTTGCCTGCGCATCAGGATCTTTTCTGCGCTCAACGCTATGGAAAGGAAACAACAACTGCGATCTCGACCGTGGTAGCATTTTCGAAGTTGCCTAGAGGTAAGCAGAGTCTGCCTGGAGACGGGCAAAGATTGATCTGTCTCCCACCAGAATCCTGATGACACCCCTTACACCGTTTCTGCCTGATGGAAGGCAAACTTTTGACTGAATTCCATACAGACGTTTGATCAGACCTTCCTTTCAATCTTGCGCAGGTGCAACGGGTCCTTCTTTCAGCCCACCCCCGCAATCATGCTCGCCGCTAAACGCTTCATAGCGGGCTACACCGGCGAGAAGTTCGCTGCGATCCACCTCCGTCGTAACGACTTCATCGACCACCTCACTCTAGACACCAAGATGGACTGCCAATACGGAGACCCAGGCTGCTTCACGCTCTCCATTCCCCAGCTAGCGAAATGCCTAGACCGAGCGTTAGAAGCAAAGGGGCTGTCGTTGCTTTTCGTCGCAACCGACGCGACTGCGGAAGAAATTGAGTTGCTCAAGGAGCTCTTGCGGGGAGGCGGAAAAACCGTGATCCGAATACCGCGTATCACGGAAGTGCATAAGCATAGGTGGTACCAAGGGCTGCCGCCCAACGACGAGATGGTGTATTCAGTAGTTGAAAAGACGATTTGCGCGATGGCTACCATCTACATCTCGAGCTTCTACTCGACTTTTTCGCAGGACATACAGAGGCTGAGGTACGACTGGAACCTGGACACGTGTCATGACCACTTGATATGTAGGTTAGATTAACTGTTTTCTTCTGGTCAGGAGGGATCAAGCTTGGCCCTTCAAAACAGGACTTTATCACGTCTAGAATGGTGAGGGATAGTGTCGCTCTATGCTTCAGGTGTTTGATTACTGATCGTAAGTTAGGGTGTCCCAATCGTCACAGGACAATGTTTAATCAAAGGCGACCTTTGACTAACGTTATTTGACGATCTGGACCCCAGGTTTTGATGATACTCTGTAAGTTCGCTAGAACTCCAGAGGTGATGATTCAAGAAAGCAGAAAATTGGTGAAGGAGCTCTAGCTAGCAGCCTCACGTTGAGTAAGGTGTTCGTCCTGATAAGTTAGAGGACATGCATCAGTAATGCCAGTGCATCTGGACATGGAAATGCTAGCTTCGAGTTTTGCTGTGATGCAAGCATGATGTCAGGCAACAGGGGACGTATTGTGTTGACTTGCGGCACCGTCCGGTCATGATACCGTAGATCACAATAAAAGATAGTGAATATTGCAAATTAATGAATCAGTAACAGCATGCTAGATAAGTGCAGTTTATGTAGGTTGCCGCCGCGCCTGCCAGTACTTCGTCCATTGCGCGACCGGACATGAGCTGCAACACATAGTTATTATAAATGCATGAGAGCGCTAGCCAATATGCTCATGACGGTACAGCTTAGCCGAAAGTGTAACCCGGTCGTCTGGCATGGAACGCGGAGAGTTGAGCGCACATGCACGTGCACACCGTGCGGCCTACCTAGCTAGCTTGAGTCAGTCGTTTCTCAATCAATTCCTTATGCATGCTCGTCAGGCATGCAGTAACGCACTCAGTGCACAAAGAAGCTGAGCCACAAGCGTCGCGGATCACAGAACGGTCCATTACGACGACCAATTAAGCATCCCGACTAGGTGCCGAAAACGAGCTGGACAACTTATAGGATGCCTAGCCTCAAGGTTGAGTGACGGTCTAATATTCAGCACACGAACAGTGGCAGCTAGATCCCGTAGACCCAAAGTCAATCCGACAGGCTGACCACTCGGAGGCCACAGTCGAGCATGAGCCTTATATCGGAGGATGTGCTTTGAGATGTGCTTTGTGCGGACGGGAGTGGCAGCAAGTTATCCACACTGAGGATAGATAGTAGGCTAGACTGCCTGAAAGATGGGATTGTCTCAGGGGCAAATGACGGTCACCATTTAGCAATTTCAGGGACAGCGTTTGTCAAAAAAACCTTCTATCAACTCGTCAGATTCCCGATTTCTGTAAGATCAATCTGATGTCCGTTTATCCAACAAGTCAACGAAAACGCAAGAAAGTAGGACCATAGGTGTGTTATGTTACCAACGCGTACTCCTTCTCAAGATAGTCAATGATGTCGCCTGATTCAAACATGGCAGCCCCGGTGTTGGGGTCTTCTAAGTAAGGCGCCTGCAAAAGAAGGACAAGGCAAAGCAAAACTTGAGATTCGCCGACCGATGTCCATTTCCTAGCCGCCTCTGAGCCACAACCGGGAAAGCCCGCAGAAGGCCTTGTTATGCAAAGAACAAACGACTCATTCGAAACATTTTCTTGTCATCTTCTTCCTCGAAAGCGACCCCGCAGAGGGCATCCCTTTGCTCCTCCAAACCTGTCCGCGTTGCTGATCTTGTGGGCACCCAAAGTCGCAAACGCGCCAAGAAAGGGGTTTGGGTATAAGGCCGGTCTGAGTAGAAAAGCATGAGCCCACGTGGCTCCGAGAAAGGCCACGTGTCTTCCACAGGGAAAGCGAGAGGTCTTCTGATTCTGGTCACGCTTAATCAGATACCCATGAAGTCTGAGAACCCACGTTATTGTGGTCATCCAGACGGAAAAGCAGAACGAAATTAGCAACACTTCCTCAGGCCACGGTCCGTACCTGGAAGATACCGGTCCGGTCGAAAAGCTCCTGGCGCTTGGCGCTCCCGCGCGCGCACGAGTGGTACACGTGGGGCAGCTCCAGCTCCACCAGGACCTCGCGGACGATCTTGCAGAACGGCGACGCCTGCGGACGTCCGAACAACCGGCTCAGTTTGTTTCTTAATGAATTGTTTCTCCCTCTTCCTTCTTCAAAAGGGGCGTCCGGACGGACACCTTCCTCTCGACTTGAGCGGACTGCTTTGCCCTGATCTGTGCTTTGATCTTGCAGAAAGGAGACGCCTGCTGACGTCCGAACGAGTAGCTTATCCCTTTCTCCTCTCTACTTCTATGGCATCACGATCGGACATGTGCTCGAAAGTCGACTTCAGACTTCAAGTATGTGCGTCCCTGTTGCCCCACAAGAAGGAGTTCTGACGATGGTGCGTGAGCCGTCGGAGGGAATTTTCAGGGCGGTTCTTGCTTTGTCTACCTTCCACCCGACTTTGTATAGGGAGACAAGGAAGGGCATTGAGGACGCAACGAGGAGCATTTTACCGTCGTAGCACAGCTTTAACGTAACGTGTCGGGCTAAGCAGAACGGAAGTTCCGAAAGTGGTAAATTGCACAAAACGAGAGCTATCGTTAAGCATTTGAGATAAGTCCAGGTGTGAAGCGGCTGGTCGAACCAAAACTGCGAAAAGGCTTGCTGAGAGGCCTCGCAGGCCCGAACAAGCACAAATTGTCGTTAAGCGTCGTATCCGTCACACACAGATGCGGAACTGCAGCGCTAAGAATCAAGCCTCCTACCCTGCAGACCCGAGAAGATTGTTCCGATGGGCTTACCTCATAGGCCCACAACTCCAGAGGCTTGGCTGGCTTCTTTGCTGGCCGGTACGATGACCCCTGCAGCGGAAGCGGTGGGGAACAGCTCATTAACAATGTTTTTTAGGGAAACATAATTGGAGTACATATGCATACAACAAAGCGCACTCCTGACCACAGGCCCATGCACCCCAGGCGGCAAGCTCCGGTACAACGGCTGTTTACTCGTCCCGCTATTCAGTTGTCTGGCGACCAAATAGCTGTTGCCGTAAGGAGGAACTCCGACCACTTATGCCCCTGTCAGAGCTGAAGTTCAGTTATCGTTGTTTAAAAAAGGTCCAGCTCACTTTGCCCAGTCTTGGTAGCATCGCCAGCCCCGCCGTAAGACTGGTCAGCGGCCCAAGCTTGAGCTGAAACGCCATCTTCCCGTCGCCGTACGTTCGCGACAGATAGCTGATGATCTCGTCCGATTCGTACATGGAGTAACCCGTGTTAGGGTCAATCTGGGTAACGGGCCAAGAAAACCGCGTTAGGCAGACGACGAAGACTCGATTGCGAGAAGACTTTCGCGTAAAAAAGGATATGAGGTCGAAGAACTGGGAAGGGGAATGGATGGCAGGGAGGTCTTGCGGAGCAAGACGAAAAGTCAAGACCCTAATATAACCAAGATCGTAAATACCATTATCACATCTTTCCGCAGCAGAGGATCCCGCTCTTTCGGATTCGCAAGTAAGTGGTTCTTGCTTCCAACTCCGTCGACCTTCGGACATTACCGTACTATATTCACCCAGACAACGAACACGACATCGTCGAGGACAAAAAAGACCGCGTTCTCTCACCATGTACGGGAACTGCTTCTTGCCCCCCAGCTCGATGGCCTTCGGACGGTATGTCGGACCGTCCTGCGGCGTGGGAAAGAACAGGACGTCCAGATCCAGGAAGGTGACGGCCTCCCGCACTTTGCGGCAGAAGGGGCAGCCCTCGAACTCGTAGATCTCGATCGGCTTTGCAGGCAGCGTGTGAGCGGCGCCTTTCTCCACAAAGCGGCGGCCTGAAAGGCAATGGCAATGGCATCTGTTTGAGTTCAATAATCAGACTGTCAACGATGTTCGGCTTTGCAGGTGGCGCCGTTTTCAACAAAGACGGCGGCCTGAAAGAAGTTGTGTAGGAACATTTGTCAGCGTCTAGAAGCAAAGAATGTGTCTTCTAAGACTCGATAATCAACGAGTAGGGCTTTGCAGGCAGCGTTTGGGTGGGAAATTTTCCACAAGTCGTGGGGCCGGAACTGAATTTGCGGATTCCTTTGATCAGCGTTAGTAAGTGCGGGATCTCATTGCTCCAGAGCGAGACAAGCAACGATGTTTGGAGTACAAAGGAGGAAGTTGTTAAAAATCGCCAAACTTTGGCCTCGACTGGATTACGCCCCTTTTTAATAAGGACTGAGGTATCCAATGAAAAAATACTGTTCCGACCCGATTCTTCCAAAGGACACCAAGAGAGATGCAGCACCTTCTGTGAGGCTACTTCCACAATCTAAATTCTTCTGAACAATTTTGACAAGCATCGAACCCAAGCCCTGGGCTTGAAGACCCCGTTCAACGTCTTCATCTGAGCGAGCCTAACAGCACGGATGAAAGTAAGGAGATTGTAAGACCGGCGCTGAAATGGAATGTTGACGTTTGTTCTTTGGGAGGCAAACAAGTCGCATGCAATTTTCAACGAAGGGAGATCTGTTGCACAATTTGCTTAGGCGCCCTCCAAAGCGCCACTACGAGCAAGTCGGAGTGTCCGCCTTGCTCGATTCGAGTAGGCTACATTTCTGTGGCATAGCGCTTGGCATCGGGAATTCAGAAAACTCTCTTTGTCGTTTAGTAGGAGAGAATCTGACCGAACCAGTCTCAGCCACAACTTGAAGATCCTTCTGATTGAAGACATCAACTAAATCGTTCAATAACTGTGGCTGAAATGCGCCTGTCGGTAGGAGCTAAGGTTACAAAGTGAGCGGAAGCTCGCACCTGCAACCCGGAAGAGCGAGTAAGTTGACTGCGGGTCAGAATCGTCTTTCTCCAACGAAGTCGAGTACCTGTAACAAACAGACAGAACGGTGTGTAATATAAGCTAGCCCCAGCCAGAGGAATGATAGGGGTTCTCGACGCTTGCTCATCTTGTTCTTTCTTTGTCCTTGATCTCCTTCCTTGAATGGCCTTTTCCGAGTGAGGCTCACAATGTTGGGAAAGAGCTGATGTGGTCTGACAAAAACGTTGGCATCTTGGTGAACCTGAGCAAATGAGAAGAGATTGCTGGCCGGAGACATTTGAGACATGAGCATGATAGAATGATTGCAACAAGATCCCTGGCATTAGCTTTCACATAAAGATGCCGCTCCTCGATGAGAGAGGTACGTCCTGCATACGAAGCTTCTTAGTGCACAGCGCTGGAATTTTGAGACAACTCGAAGCGGATTTTCGCATCATCTGATCAAATACTTCTCCCATGCTTAAGCAGCTTTGAAATGTAACCTATCGCTCAGTCTGATTCCCTCTCGGCGATAGCTGGTCCCCAAGTAAGTTGTTTTGATCATTCATTCTGTCTACTTTTTATTGGTTTGAGATATTCGACATGCTGTAGAAAGCTTACCCGGCCACCAGCGCACCGCTGCCCAGCCGCATCAGTAATGGGACTGATGCTGCTGCTAGGGCGAGCACTTTATCCCCTCTGGGTGTGAAGCGCTTGGCTTTCTTGGCTGCACTGCGAGCATTTTCAGCTACCGAGACACCGCTCTCGTTGCCTGTACGAGAGGAACAGAAATGCTTCAGTGTGGCAGTGTGTGTGCTTGTCGGGCGACCCAGAAGAGGCATCCTGCTCTGAAGTAAACGCTCTTCGACCTGGTGTGTTACAGCGTTTGATTGTTGACAAGTATCATTGTGGTTCTTTTAACCTTACAAGTGCATAACACAATCAAGATGGGCAGCCACTTTATCCTTCTCCATGTGATCCAGCACAAGCCCCTTTATAACTCCAATGACTCTAAGTGGTGGCGTTCTCGAATTGTCAATGAACAATTACGTGCAGGCAACAATTCCACACCCAGCAGGAATTTGTTTCCTAAGGGCCTTGCTCAAAGAAATTACGCACGTCCCTATGTCCCTAGCTGTGATCCGTTCATTCTAATGCTGAAAGTGTCGCCCAAGGACCCTCTATACCCTCCTCCAAATAGCCTCTTGCCAGCATTACTCGCCACCATTTATTGCTGATGCCGCATCGATTGTGATCATAGTTCCGGCACTTGTCTTTCTTACATATGTAACCAAGATAGGCTTCACATATCCAGATCCAATGAGGGCAACTATATCTCCGCAGGGCCACCCCTTTCACCGCCCTGTCCAACTCTGAGGAAAGCAGAGAGAGACCTGACGTACCTAAGTTGGAACTATCTGCCAAAAAAAACGTTAGATCAAACTTCGGCAAAGATTGTACTCAAAGTTCAAAGAACCGTTGAATCACCTTGTGCTCTAAATGCTGTGCCTGCCCTTCCTTTCCTCTGGACCGATGTGGGAGTACGCAGCAGCGGACAGCCGTTCACAAAGCTGCAGCTTTGGCTAGATTGCACTGGCGCATCGCGCAGCATACCACCTTGAAAGAGGCCCGCACTGTTCACACCTGACAACATCGCTGCATTAGAAGCCATGGCGGGCAGCAAACTTTTGCGCTTCAACAGATCTCAAATTTGCATGCTCTCAAGTTTCAGAATCTGAACAGACGCAGACAGAACTTTGCAGTGCATTCCGTCGGACGCGATGCAAACGGAACTGGAGTTTCCAAAGCAGAACGGAAACGGAGCAATTGTTAAGAAGAGTTGCTCAGCCTCGTGGCAGCAGATCATTGGTTAAGAGATTGTCTCCGCGGTCGAGTGGCACTTCTTCGCTCTGAGAGTCGTCGGCGAAGTCTGCGGGAGGTACTTAAATCAAATTTCACCCGTCGAGAGTGACAGAAGTCGTATCCGACGTACCGTATTGCACGACCGGCGCATGTGCTGTGACGTCGGGTGCCGGACATGGTAACCGGCCGTCGTGTAACATTTGCAACCGTCGGATGCTGCAGTTTGTACGACCGGCGAAATCCAGGACACCTGGCGACATCCCTTGATTCAATAACCGACCGGCAAAATACAGCACGATTCGCACGACTGGCGGACCAGAGGACGGTCCAACCGGGTGTGCCGACAAACTCGATTACCGGTATGGGCCTTTACACACAGAGCGGGTGTTTTTTGTTTCGAGCGACGGTACAGCAGGGGTCGCGGCGGTACCGTCGCCAGGAAAACACCGCGGGTGTTTTTGCCAATTCGCCGACTCGTACGATCA